TAACAACACTGATCCGGCCGGGTGCAGTCAAACGATGATTTTTAATGAACACACGTGGGAGATCATCACTGTACGCAGACAGCATCAGATCTTGCCCTAAAAACTACACAAGAATGGTTTTATATCATCAGGGTATATTTCTTAACGCCCCCTCATGCGTTAAGCAGACACAATACATGCATACGTCAAATCAAAACCACAATGACTTTTAACACAGTTTGAAAAGAACATTTTCTCCTCTCCACTGCAGGTGCATCCTGTCACCCGTCCTGCCCGCGCTTATCTCCTGGAACATCAGCAGCAGTTCTGCAACAAACTGTCACTCATGCAGGCACAATTTTGCAGTCACAAGCTTTTACAAGATATTATTTGAACCTTCACCTACCCCTGAGTCTAACTGCGGTGTAGGTGTGCGTATGTGTGTAGGTGTCGACCTTAAATGCTCTCTCATCTCCCCTGTTGCACTTCTGACCTTCTACCAGAACAGAGGCTCATCCTTATGTCTAATAACCTAACTGAAACTATATGTAATATGTTGAATAAATCTCTTAAACAAGAATTACTACTAAAACCTTAATAAAAGAATATAAAAGTATAAAAGATAATAATGAATAACCTGGTTATTCACATAGCATCATCCAAACTGCTCCTCAAAATGCACACTTTACAGAGGAAACAAAGGCATTTTAGAAGTATACTTCCTGACTTATTCTCAGTCATCTGTTACCAAGCAAACTCAAACACAGCAGGTTGCTGAATACACTCAGGCCTGCAGACCTGTGATCTGCATATGAACATTTAAAATTATAAAAGCATTCAAAAGCATTTAGGATTATAGATTCAACTCCACAGTTTAAAGTAGTTATAACTGCTCCTGTACTAAAGGCTAATTGGGTGCCAATATGTTTAAACATCTGAATGCAATATCAATATTAATTATTAATGCAATGGTAATGATAATGATTTTTAACAATAGCAGCAAAATATTTCTCTAATCCCAATAGTTTTTCTCTGTATCTATCATTGTAGGGTCTACCTTACAATATAAACCACCTTCAACCGACTGTTGTTGTGATTTGGTGCTGTATAAATAAAACTGAAAAAAAAAAAGAATTAATGAGCTCCACCCAGCCAAGCAGAAGAGAGGGAGAGAGATCAAAAAACAAAAGAAAACCTGTATCCATCACGAGCCAGTCAGAGAAGCACGGGGACCATGACAGTCATCCCTCATGGTTGTGTGTAATTCTTTATGCGTTTCCCCATGTGTTCAGCTAATTAGTTTTCCCAGTTTAGTTTTGTATTGTTTCTTCGTTCAGCAATGTAGCTGCATTCTGAGTTTATTCTTTGTCTCTGTGAGTTTGCCACGGGAGACTCAGGTTAGCCTGTCCAGCCGTTTCCCTTGTGTTCTGACAGCTCAAGAAAGTTAGCTCAGCAACCATTACAACCACCATTACTACAATCCTTACTTCGATCACTGGTTCAGTCTCTAACTTTGCTTTCTGTTGTGGTACCTGCTTCACCATCTGTTTTGTCACCACTTCAGTCACCCACCTACTCCATAAGTCATGATTCGGCTGTGTGCAGACAGGAAGAGGACCCAAAATGTAGAACTCGCAACACACAAGGATAACTCGAGATGCAGCTTTATTGCTGACACACAGAAATGATACAGGACTAAAGTAACCTGGAAAATATAAACTAAACTTCACCAAGAGGCACAGAAGGAAATACACAGCATGAGAGAGAACACAACACTGACACAGACAAACACAGGGCTTAAATACACCCGGGAATAACGAGGGGAATGAGACACAGCAGCAGAGCACAGCTGGGAGGAATCAGACATGATGAGACCAAAGGGAAGCAAAACTCAGTACATTCACCTAAGACACAGACCTTCAAAGTAAAACAGCAAACGTAAGACTGAGACGCAGACTTGACTAGGGGAGACAACTGACAGGGGAGACAGCAACTAAGAAACACAGAGACCAAACATAAGGGAGGCACAGAGAACACTAAACACTGGGAATGATCACAAATAACACAAAACACTGGGTCATAGACCCAGGACCGTGACACCATCATTAGCTCAACCACCTTTTCAGTCACCACCATCATTGGCTGAGAGCTCAGCTGAACTCTCTCAGCCTTCAGCTGCTTCACCAGGGGCATCTGCTGGGCTGTCTTAGTTTCCTATCCCTGCTGAGAGCTTGGTTGAGTTAACCCAGCCACCTCCATCTGTTGTGGGAAGCTCTGGTGAGCTCATTCAGCCAGCTGGGGACTGCATCTTGCTGGCACTGCCCAGACAGACCGACTGCACTGCACAGCCCGAGCCACTGCATCCTGAGTGGGCTGTGTGCCCTGTGCAGCTACAGTTAGTGTTGCCTCAGCCAGAGGTCTCCAACCTGCTGGCTCTTTGTCTGTCTCCACTGGAGGTTCTGGAGAACCCCTTCAGCTATGCCTTGTCTCTGCTGGGGGTTCTGGTGAACCCGGCCATCACCTTCTCGTGGTTACCTGTTTTTTTTAACTCATCCTCCTTATGTTTTTTGTTCGGTTCTGGGTGCTTTTCCTGCCTGCACACAGCTAATTCATCACAGTGGGACATGGAGAACTCTTTGAATATCAGGAAAAGATGATAGCCACCTGAGAAAGAGAGCTCAACAAAGCTAAAAAGATGGATTTCCAAAGGGTTTTCACGTGCACCGATGGTTTGTTTATCACTAAGTAAAGGAGCTTATGGTGATGCTCTTCTGACAACAGGATCAACACCTAAAGAAAGCCTTAGCCAATGTAAAAAGGGGACATGAAGGTGAAATCTAGGTGAAGACTAAAGCACAGCAGAAAGGATAGTATGCAAAAAAAGAAGAAGAGGTGCAGACGTTGCAGCTTTGAGAAGATTTGGATTTCCACTCAGCACAGAACCAAGAGATAAGTCCAGGCCTGGGTTTGCACATCCTCTCTCCAACCTTTTTCCTATCTGATCGGATAAGTATAATTCAAGTGATTTGAGTCTGTTCTTGTTATTATTTGATTCTACTTTTGCTTTGCTTCTTTTATTTTGGTTAAATAAAATATCCTACATTAAAAATGTACAAAATTGTGCTTGTCCCATGTTTAATCCTTTGTAAATAGTAAACGTAAAAAACGGTTTTAATCTACATTCAGCATAAATAGCACTTACAGGTTACTCTAGCCTCCTGAAAGTAACAGATCCTTGGGGCTTGGTTATTCAAGCCACTAAATTAAACCCAGTTATCTGAAGAGCGCTGATCTAGAGCGGAGGTGCTGTTAAAGAGTTTAGCTGATGGAGGTCGGGCCTGAAAGGCTACCACGGCTTTTGTCAGCGGAAACAGGGTAAACATTTGGAGGGCTTTGAGGCAGTGAAAACTAGGTGAGTACCCACTGTTATCAGCTATGGTAAATGGACTGGTTCTTATATAGCACTTTTCTACTCTGTCTGAGCACTCAAAGTGCTTTATAAAAGTAATTCATTTACCCAGTCACTTCTTCGCTCTTAAGTATCTAACATTCGTATGCATGGGAGAGCAACATGGGGTTAGTATCTTGCCCATGAATATTTGTCATGCAGACTGTGATCCCAGCAGCTTGGGATCAAACCACCACCCTTCTGGTTAGTGGCTGACCTGCTCTGCCACCTGAGCTACAGCCACCCCAGTTCCATCTATACTCTGCACTGCCTGGCACTCATAGGATCAGAGATTAGGATTTCCATTTATTTGTCACCATTATGTTGGTGGGTGGGAGAAAAAAAATGATAACAAAGTCCAAACCTGTCATGATTTCCGTGCCTCGCTGGCTCACTCTGTGTTTGGCAACATGTTTTGTTTGTTTTGTTTCCTTTGCGCTCTCTCTCCTCTGCCGGGGCAGTGCTCATTACGGGCTCCCGCCCCTGGCCAACGCACCTGTGCTCACCGTCACACCTGCAACTGATCCCAGCCGATTTGGAGCACTATTTATGACGGTGGACCTGTGTCATCCTTCGCTGGATTGTTGAGCCATCAGCATCTGCCCTGGACCCGAGCAAGCGAGGAACCCACTGAGAGCATTTATTGGCTTAATCCCTGCTTCCCCCTGGACCCCCGGACCCTTTCCCCCGCCACGCTGTATATATATCTTCACCTGGTGTCTCACTGTAAATAAACGCACTTTCTCTTTACCAAGGATACCTGGTCTGTGCGTGAATCCGTCCCAAACATTGTGACAAAACCACCATTGGACTATTGGAGTTGTTTTTGGATTTTTCACCTACCTTATATTTTTTTTAACATAACTCATATCTGTTCTTGATGATGATGTCACTGACCTCTTGGAGGGAAGATGTCATTTATCTGTTCACTGCATTAAAACAGTAACTGATTAAACCTGCTAGTAATGATAGAAATAAAAACATAAAGAGGTATTATTCTAAATCTTTCTACCCTTCTCTCAGAACATCCTTCAAGAAAATGTTTGATGCTTCTAACCTGCAATGACAACTGACAATCATTTATCAAGCCATACTAACATTTGAAGAGTCCTCCTTAGTTTAGACAAACAGCATTAAGACAAAACTGGATCTTCGTGTTCTCTAACTGTCAGATGGTTTCTTGGAAGAGCTTTCATTCACAGAAAGTCACACATGTCTGTTGCCAAGAAAAAAAAAAATCCAAAACAAAAGTGACAGCCTAAACATTACAGAAAGAAAAGCAGCATTTCATATGGAACAGGTAGAAAACTCACACATGAATCACACTAAAAAAAACGTGAACACCACAGAACCAACAAAACAGAGAATAAGAATCCGAAACGCCAAGAAACTCAAAGCCCAAGTCCAAGACTCAGGATACACAAACTATTGCACCATTCATCTATTGGGTGTTTCCTGTGATCTCTGTCAGTAACAGACTTTGGCTCTGTAAGAATATCACATGTTCAAAGGGAGGAGACTCCGAGCAGAAACTTATAGTGAGGGGGAACAAAGAGCTGAATTATTCCACAGCAGGACATCTGTGACACAGAACCACAGACATGGCAGCCATAAACACAGATGGTATAGAGACAGAGCCCCTGATTGGTAAGTTAAATTAAAGCAAACAGAGTAATAAAGCTCAAGCTCTACCTGCTGGACATTATTTAGAGTCATTTCCTGATCTAGTCTTTGTCTCTTTTACATATTTTTCTACTTTTTATTTGTATTTGATGTCTTTCTGTTTTGTTTTGTTTTTATTTTAAAGTCTTTCTAACATCTGATCTAAAAGAGGTCCATCGAGCCTACAAATTGCAGAGCTGATCTATGATTTTTCAACATAAACATCAAACCCAAAAGTGACTTGTAGGAGAGCTGTGAAGAAATAATTAGAATGCGTGGTAACCGTTATTGCTGATTAATGTTTGAAATTGATTTATTTCTACATTAATCAACATCAACACATTTCTGTGATTACTTTTATGTGTAGGATTAAAACCATCTCTCAAAGTTGGAGAAGTTATGCTCAACCAACCAAATCTACATTCCTGACAACGGGTCAAAGATCAAGTACTAAACCCTTTCTTTCCAAGCGTGACTTGGAAACTGTTATTCATGCCTTTATTACTTCACGTTTGGATTATTGCAATTCCCTTTTAATAAGGGTTGGGCAGGGCACTTTGTCATGCTTGCAACTAGCGCAAAATGCTTTGGCACAATTTTCCAATGGCAGAAGGAAATTCAACCACATCACTCCGGTTTTGGCCTCTCTATATTGGCTTCCTATTAAATTTAGGATCCTTTAAATGACTTTAAAGTTCTTTTACTGGTGTTTAAATCTAAATGGTCTGGCACCTGTTAATTTGTCTGATTTGTTGAAGCCCCATGTCTCCATTCATTCACTTTGGTCAGCTGAGCAGCTGTTGCTTTTAGTTTCTAGGTCACGGCTGAAACTTAGAGGAGACCGACGGTTCTCTGTTGCGGCTCTGATGCTTTGGAATAACCTTCCTCTCCATATTAGACAAGCTACATTAGAGCCAGTTTTTAAGTCCAGATTAAAAACCTATTTTTATTCCCTGGCTTTTAACTCTGTGGGTAACTGACATGTTTACTATTAATATATTTGTATTGTATAGCACTTTGGTCTACCAGGTGTGTTTTAAAAGTGCTATATAAATAAAGGATGATGATGATAAAGTTGTTGTTTTTTGTTTACAGGGTTTTTTTTGTTTTAATGAAATACATCTTAATTTATGGCTTTTTCTCACATCCTGATTCATCCTAGCTACCTGTTACTGCTTCCCTGTCCATCTGCTCTCTGTTTGAACTGCAAAGAACTAGAGAAACGTCACACTGGTCTATTGTCAGTGTGTGAAAATATTTATATTATATGAAGGAAATGGTAATGTGTGAAATATATACCAACAGAAGTTAAATGTTTGCCAAATCTCTAAATATAGATGAGGAACTACAGGCACCAGAAGAATCACAGGAAGGAGGAACACCAGAAGGAACAGACCTACAAGACCTCAGGATAGTGCTTGTTGGGAAAACTGGAGTTGGAAAAAGTGCAACAGGAAACACCATCTTAGGGACAAGAGCTTTTACATCTGTAGTATCTCCTTCCACAGTAACATCAGAGTGTCAAAAAGCTATAGGAGAGTTTGAAGGTAAAACCCTGGCTGTAGTTGATACACCAGGTCTGCTTGAGACTGGAGATATTAAGGGACTAAAGAGAGAAATTTCTGCATGTGTCTCATTAGCTGCTCCTGGTCCTCATGTGATCCTGGTTGTGATCAGAATTGATAGATTCAGTAAAGAAGATAAAAAAACAATAAAAAATATTCAAAAATTGTTTGGAGAAGAAGCAACACGTTACATTTTGGCCTTATTCACCTATGGAGACAGTCTGAGGGCTGATGAAATGACCATAGAAACATTTATTGGTCAAAATCAAGTTCTCAGTGACTTCATCCATCACTTTAAAGGAGGATATTACTACTTCAACAACAAAAGCAAGGATCGCTCGCAGGTCAAAGAGCTGTTGGAGAAGATCGACAAAATGCTTCAGCTAAACGGAGGAAGATACTACACCAATGAAAAGTTCATGCAGGCAGAGAGAGCCATTAAAGAGGAGATGGAACGACTTCGGACAGAAAATCCAGAGATGACACACAGAGAGGCAAGAAGACAAGCGGAGAGAAAAAACAAGTTTATTGAAGGAGGTATTGTTGGAGGTGCTGCTTTTGTTGGAGCTGCTGCTGGAATTGGTATCGGAATTGGCATTGAAGCTGGAGTTGGAGGTGCTGTTGGAGCTGTGGGGGGACCGGTGGGAGCTGCAGTGGGAGCTGCAGTTGGAGCTGCAGTAGGAGGTGTCACTCTGTTAGTAAGACAAATGAAACAAAACCGTGAAAGCCAGGCTTCATAATCTTTAAAGTGAAGTTTAGTCACATTAACAGAAGAAGATACAGGAAAATAATAACAGTTTTCTGTTATTTTATCATATTTTTGTTTGGGGGATTTTGCTCTAATGTCTTTACTTACAGGCTGATTTCTGACATTTTGTAGAGTATACAACAAGTGTCTGTCTTACTGGTCAATGTTAGGATTATTGATTATGTGATTTATAAGACAGTTTGACTGTGAAACAATAAACCTGTCAGGTTGTGTAAATGTGTTTTGGAGCCGTATGAATGCTGAAACTGAATGCAAAGTTTCATTTCTTGAATGATGCCTCATGCAAAGATTCTGTTCATAAAGATAATTGAGTGCATTTTTGATTCAAGTGATTAAAAGGTCAGGTAAATGAAAAGCGGTAAATTCCTAATACATCTAGAACCAATAGATTACATTTTGTGAATTTATAAAAATAAAAAAAAATGTCAGTGTGTTGGTGTGAACTATGAAGGAGTCTTATTCATTTTTTCAGTGTAATAAAAATGAATGATATCATCTCTTATTCCCTGACCTAAAATCACTTAGTTAATTTTGACATGTGTGGGATTAAACTGCTGACAGTTGAGTAGGTGGTTATGTTGCCCTGGGTACTCTCAAAAGACCTTGTATTTTCACTTTTTGATTAAATAGAGATTAAAAAGATGTGGGTGGTTGTGCAGATTGTCTTTTTTGTTTTTCATTTTTCTGGCTGCAAGGTTTTCTAAATTCTTCTCCTGAAAAACAGGGTTACTTTGAGTACTTTTACAGTAGACCAATGATGAACTGGGCTGATTACATTTCCATAAGGAGAGATCACTTTCAAGAATTGAACATGATTTATTGAGATAGAGAAGGTAATGTATTTGGCGATTAGACTTTGATGACCCCACATTGTAGAATGGAATTCACAAATGAGTCTTAAATGAAGAGGTAAAGGTAGAGAGCACAGAATTACAGTTGAAACCATATATTTACATACACTTTAGAAAATAACACAATAACATCAAATCTGAATAAATGTTTTTGTTTTTGATCAGTAAATATTAACATATCTTTTGTATTTGTGAAATGCCAGAATAAAAAGAGAGAAACATCAAGTTATGTTTTTTTATTACTTTCATCAGAGTCAGAAGTATACATACACTTCCTTAGTATTTCATAGAATTGCCCTGAAACTATTTTACTTGAGACAAACATTTCACACGTGACACACACAGTTTCATTACAAACAAACTCCTTCTACTCAGTTCCTCTTTTCTGTGTCTTATTTATTAATATGCCTGTGCACTAAAACTTCCTGTGCAGCTTGCAAGAACTTCCCCTTTCTAAGGTCTGGTGCCAGGGCAACCTGTCTACACTTAGTCCCACTCTGTCTATTTTATATATATATATATGTGTGTGTGTAGCAGCTGGATAGCGTAGTGGTTAGGCTACACGCCTTTGGAAGATGTTAATGCAGCACTACGGACAATACCTACAACCACGATTACCGACACTAACAAGCTGATCTACAATACGGCAGCAGTGATCAGTGAGATGCTTGGCTACAAGTTGAACAGCCACGAGGGGCAGTACCCTCCATAGAGAAGGAGGCTAGAGGGCAAGATCAAAGTAGCACGGAGGGAGGTTAGCCAACTAACGGAGTTGCAGAAAGGTGCGACAAAGAAGGTGCATAAGAAATACAGCAAGCTGTCCATACCTGAGGCCTTGGAAACTGCCAAGCAAAGACTCACAGCCTTGGCCAGCCGCTTGAGGAGGTACACCAGAGAGATAGAAGGCAGGAGAATAAACCAGCTGTTCTCCACAGAACCAGCAAAGGTGTGCTCTCAGTGGCAAGGGAACAATAAGAGAACAGCACCACTAAGGCTGGAGACGGAGCAATACTGGAAGAGCATATGGGAGAAGGACGCAACCCATAACGGCAATGCTCAGTGGCTAGTGGATCTGAGGGCAGACCACAGCGACCTCCCTGAACAGGGTCCAGTATCCATCACAGTGGCAGATATCCAAGAAAGGGTCTCCAGTATGAAGAGTTGGACAGCACCAGGGCCCGACATGGTTCACGCCTACTGGCTAAAGAAGCTGACTGTACTCCACGAGCGTCTGGCAGCACAAATGAACCAGCTGCTAGTTAACCAGAGACACCCGGAATGGCTAACCGAAGGTCGGACGGTCCTGATCCCCAAGGACCCCAAGAAGGGACCGGTCCCCTCCAACTACCGACCAATAACCTGCCTCAGTACTACATGGAAGCTCCTGTCAGGCATCGTATCGGCTAAGATGAACAGGCACATGGGTCAATACATGAGCGGGACACAGAAAGGAATTGGCAAGAATACCAGAGGCGCAAAACACCAGCTACTGGTAGACAGAACAGTCAGCCGAGACTGCTTTGCAACAGCATGTTCATCATGAAGTCTGCAACCCGGACAGAAATATTATAGCATCTGTTTTTTAATAGTTATTCAACTGTATTCTAAGCACCAGCTGTATGTTAGAATGTGATTTTTTTTCTCTCTCTGTTGGCAGAGGTATAAAATGCGCAGGAAAATCTGACGTGCATGGCAAACTTCACCGACGATATTTAGGGAGGAATAAACACACGTCAAACATAAATGAACCATTTGCCTGTCTCCATAATTGAGAGTTTGACTTCATGACTTTCTGTGTCGTTTCTGGGATGCTGAGGACTCATATTGCACTGCTGGAAATAGTTTATTTTGATGCACATGCTGTTATTTTGCAAATTTGCACTATAATATTTATTTTCGTTTTTCCTGCAGTATATAAAAATTGGTGTATTTCAAAAATAAAACTATGAAGACACTTAAAATAAATTTCCTGTGGTGGGAAACTAGTTTGTGCAACTTTTTTGTATTTACAGTTTTGAGGGATAAGCCTCTTAAATTTCTCTAACTACAAATATATGTTAAAAAAAAAAAAAGATTTTCAATTTTTTTTGTAGTTTATTGCACTTTTTTGCAATTTATGTAATTACTATGCACTTAATGCAGACATATTATTAAAGTTTGGGCTATAATGGTTGTATTGATGTATAGCAACTTGAAATGCTCCCAAAAATGGCTCCACAGCATGTAAAAATATAATACAAGCTCTGGTGGACTTGGTTCTATGGTAGGTCTTAAAGGGTTAATGAATCTTTGTAAAAATCTAAGGATGTTTCAGGTCATATTTATCCAGGAAAACACAAACATCTAAAGAAGCTCATGACAGGTCTCTGACCTAGTTTGTCCAGGTTCAGCACTGAAGTCTGGAGGTTGAGGTTTGGACCTGTCACTCCTCATAGATGGACAGCTGGCTCCTGCAGACTCTGCTCTGTTCTCCTCGTCCTCCATCATCATCTTCTTGCGGACTTCAGTCAGTCTGAGAGGTAAACCACAAACACTCAGTGAGTTCACATTAACAGAAGTAACTGAATTAAAGTCACTGACCTCTGACCTGTCATGTAACCTAAAAACCAGGTCACATGGTCCACATCAGGGATCACAGAAACCTGATCTTACCTGCAGAACATTAGGAACAGCTCTGAGTCAGATGCAGTCAGCTCTCTGCAAACTCCAACCTCCGTATAAAACTATATTAAAAGCTCTTTTATGGCCATGCAGACACTTTAAGATCACATGATGTTCACACATGATTTCTGTGACTGTCGTAGTTTAACATGTTAACTCTGTACATGTAACATTCATGTTGATGCAGATCTCAGCTCCACATCAGCTCTGCTGAATAGTCTAAAGTTTCTCTGACACAATGAATTCAAACAGTCTGAGGAAACAAGGATGAACTTAAAGCTCTGACTTTATTGCTAGAGACGTATGAATCAAATGTTTAATCCACATTTGGAATATTTTGTCTCCTCAGTTTGAGCTGAAGAGATTTTTTTTTGTTGAAGTGCTCAAAATCTATGTTTCCTTTTAATAATGTTTATTTCCCTCGTGTCTTTAAGAGCTCTTATCATTAGCTTAGCGTTAGCGCTCTGCAGGTCTCTGCTGTGTAAATACTAATCACAGTGACAGTAAAGGAGGTAAAGGCCATAAATAAACACTGCAGCTGAGCTGTGACGTCATCACGTAGGCTGCGATCTCGGAGTCTGTGGACTCTGGCTGTGTCCCAATTAAGAGACTGCATGCTTGAAGTACGCATTCCAAGTGCGGTTACGTCACCGCCACACGACGACGGCTGTCCCAATTCGAAGTGTGCTTCAAATGCATACTCCAAATGCGCCATCGATCTCTCCAAATATCAAGCATGGTCCGGTGCACGCTTCGTGGTCCCATATATCCCACAATTCATAGCGCGGCAGTGGGTGTGGAGAATTGTGCCGCAAAATACGGCAGAAGGGAGCGGCCGAAGAGGTTGTTTTTTTCTTTTTCAAAACTTAATTGAAATCATAAAGCGAACAGTCAGTCATTCCAGTTCAGTTTGTACAGTAGACATACAAGGCAAATAAGAGTAACAATATACAGTGCAATGAAATAAGAAGGATGAATTAATAAAGGAGAAAAAAAGAAAAAAAGGGGGGGAATGTGACAGACTTCATAACAACTTTGTACTTGAAAGTTGTGACAGCTCATTCGTTAAACATTTCTGGATGAACTTCAATCAATGAGAAACCTTTTTTATTGGAAGTTAATTTAAGAGAGTTTGAGTAATATTCAATTTCAATCAAAAACAACTTAAATGATGGGGTTGAGTTTTGAAATTTACATTTATGTATGTGGAATTTCCCTAATAAGACGGAGTGGCCAAAGAGTGAACTGTCAAAAGTACTGAATATGACGTCACTTATTTATGTGCGAATGTTTAATAATTAAAGTCAGTCATATATCCACAAACACAACAAGCTGAAAGTCAGTGATATATGTATATGTGTGTGTGTATTTGTATATGTGTATGTATGTATGTGTATATATATATATCATAATAATCTGACAATACTATAATATTGGCCATATTATATTTACATTGCCACAGTGAGATGACTTTGGTCTCATGAACAACATCAACTAATTGTTATTTACTAACTAATCTTAAATAACTGTTCAGCACAGAAATGAAGCCCAACAATCATGTTTACAGTCCCGTGGTCTCAGCCTCAGATACTCATCAAATCAAAGTGATGTCATGACAAAAATGAATGACTAACACAACATTTTCTTCTTCATTTCTGTCAAACAAAGCTGTATGTAACGTGTGTCGCGGTTAGTATCATGGTTGCTAGACAACCTAAACAGCGCTGGTTGTTCAGTGATGACGCGACGAATCCTACTTCCGGGTCTAAAGTAGTCTGCGTTAAAAAGTTAGCTTGTTTATATTATGCTAACATAGCTGTGTCGCTAGCGGTCACGTAGCACATCATTATATACCAGCTAGCCCAACTTCAGTAACCCTACAAACGTCACTGCTGTTTAGTTTCCTGTCTTCATTTATGCTGGAAGTGATAACAAAGCTGTACGTTTGAATTTGTTTCCAAAACCCCGCAGTCAGGACATGCTATATTGTATTTACATAGAAGCTAGCGAGCTAACTCCCTGCTAACTTCTAACTCTGTTAAATGTCATAAATTCCGTTTTCATGGATGCCTGGATGTTAAACTCAATTGTTACACCTGGTAGAGCAGAACGCTGATCATTTTATTAAAGATGAAAGACTTTAGACAGTTTTTCAACTCTCAGTAATGCCATAGCGTCCCATTTCACAAGCCTCTCACTTCCGCACTTATAGTACGCACCGTACGTAGTACGCGTAGTGCGCGTACTTCGAGCGTGCAGTCTCTTAATTGGGACTCAGCCTCTGAGTGAACTCAAAGTACAAACTATAAGTACACAAACAAGAACGTAGCTCAGAGTGGCGGACACACTCGGCCTCGTTGGTCCAGCTGTGAGTCCGTTACCGTGAACTATGGAGCGGCAGATTTGTGCTGTTTGTGCAGGAACTAAGCTGCACACAGCTGATGTTAGCCAGGAAAACATTACACACTGACTTTGATGGAGAGAACGGAAATGAAACATAAGCTGAACAAACAGTAAAGTTCCTAAAGACAAACTTTTAAAGGAGGAAACAAAGCAAACTTACAGTTTCTTCACACACACCAACAACAAGTTCCACACCTGGACAATAAACACGAAAAAACAGGTGAGCTGTTCCTGGCAGGAGGCGGAATTCCACCGGTAGCAGAACAGGTGGGAGGGGGATGCAGATTTCCACAATAAGAGCACTTAGAAAAAATTCAGTTAATCTCAAAATGGCATCAACAACTCTGTGCTATTTCTTTCTCAGAGCAGATTCGGGCATTACTCAAATAATAAAGGCTTTTTTTAAAAAAAATATTATACTTTTCATTAGTCTCCAGTTTTATGATTATAAGGCTAAAAATCAACATGAATTTGGTTCTAATCAAAGAAGCTCCTTTAATGTCTGTCATAAAAATCCTCACACAGACTTAAAAGGCGACATTAATGTTAAAATAAATGAATGAAACTTCAGCTGAGAGCTTAATGGAGTCACCATAAGCAGTTCATAGTAGTCACAGCTCTTAATTATTCAGCTTTTCATGAACTAAAGTCATGGTGTGTCAAAGTTTGTGTGAGAAGCTACTTTATGGACAGCTGTAGAACACATCATTATTATTTCTTCATAAATTAAACACACAAGTTTGTCTGTAGATGATTTAAAGTGTGTCATTGTGCAGTTAAAGCTGTTTGTTTGACGCCTTGACCTCCTGTGAAACCAGCTATGAATGAAAAAAAAGTTTCACTTTGGTACAAAATCAACATGTTAACATGAAAACCAGAGAGACTGCAAGAACATCTGGAACATCTGCACCAAACTGTTATACCGAGAATATTTTCTACATATTTCAGACATGAAGCAAACCTTTATTTTTATTTCTTGCATGTTCATGGGTGGATGGACGTGTTTAAACTCGTTCAATGTCCGACGTCTTCTATTCAAATATGAACTATGAACAACATTTAATCGTCTGTAAATGGTTTGAGGCACACTGATGCCACCTACAGGGCTGGTGGGGAACAGCAGTGATCTGAAATCATGTGAGATGTTAATGAGTGAGAAGTTAGATAAAAACGTACTTAATATAGCTGTAAGTGATAAAAGTTCATCTAAAACAAAAGATAAATCAATTGAGTCTTTGTAGAGTTCATCTGGTGCACACATGAATTATGTGATGAAAGCTTTATTTCACTGAATGTTTCATCAAAGCTCATTTCAACATGTTGAAGCCATGAATGAAAGAGCAGACTGAGAATGGATCACATGATGTTTAAGGTGTGTCATGAGCAGTGTTCGTCAAGGTACTTGAAAAAAATAGTCAATAACTAACTACTGATTACTTCTCCAAAAGAGTAATCCCGTTACTTTACTGATTACTTATTTTTAAAAGTAATTAATTACTTAGTTACTTTTTAAAAACACAATTTACAACCTGGATAGGTAATAAAGCAATAGATCCTTCAGCCCAATTCTACTTTTTCTGCATAATCCATCATACAAAACGTAATCAAATGGAAAAGTCTCTTTTAAAAACTTGTTTTACTAGTTGTAATCTTTTAACTTCATGCATTTAACTTCATGCTGGCTAAGGGTAAACGTAAATTCAGTAAAATCATAATTCACGTCGGCAGTAATGACACCCGGTTACGCCAATCGGAGCTCACTAAAATCAATATTGAATCGGTGTGCAACTTTGCCAAAACAATGTCGGACTCTGTAGTTTTCTCTGGTCCCCTCCCCAATCAGACCAGGAGTGACATGTTTAGCCGCATGTTCTCCTTAAATTGCTGGCTGTCTGAGTGGTGTCCCAGAAACGATGTGGGCTTCATAGATAATTGGCAAACCTTCTGGAGGAAACCTGGTCTTGTTAGGAGAGACGGCATCCATCCCACTTTGGATGGAGCAGCTCTCACTTCTAGAAATATGGACAAATTTATTAAACCTCTCTGCAGCTTCTCTCCTCCTGCTACCCCCCCCCCAAAAAAAACCCATCTACATAGAGACTGTGTCAGCTTCCAAAAAGACAAAAAACAAACTAAAAACCAGCAAAAACAACTTAAATATATAAAAATCACAAAGAAAGAACAATACAGTATCCACATCTGAACCAAAAACAGTGAAATGTGGATTATTAAATATTAGGTCTCTCTCCTCCAAGTCTCTGTTAGTACATGACTTAATAATTGATCAACACATTGATTTACTCTGCCTTACAGAAACCTGGTTGCAGCAGGATGATTATGTTAGTTTAGATGAATCAACACCCCCGAGTCATTCTAACTACCAGAAATCTCGAAGCACAGGCCGAGGGGGAGGTGTGGCAGCAATTTTTCACACCAGCCTATTAATTAATGAAAGACCAAGACAGACTTTTAATTCATTCGAAAGCCTGATGCTTAACATTGTCCACCCCAGCTGTGAAACTCAGAAACCAGTCTTACTTGTTATCATCTATCGTCCACCTGGGCCTTACTCAGAGTTTCTGTCTGATTTCTCAGACTTTATATCTAATTTAGTTCTGAGCTCAGATAAAATAATTATTGTGGGTGATTTTAACATCCATGTAGATGCTAAAAATGACAGCCTCAACATGGCATTTAATCTGTTATTAGACTCAATTGAAGTATCTCAAAATGTAAAAGAACCCACCCACCACTTTAATCACACTCTAGATCTTGTTTTAACATATGGCATCGAACCTGAACATTTAACAGTGTTTCCTGAAAACCCTCTGCTGTCTGATCATTTCCTGATAACATTTACATTTACAATAATCGATTACACAGCGGTGGAGAGTAGACTTTATCAAAGTAGATGTCTTTCTGAAAGTGCTGTAACTACGTTTAAGAATATAATCCACCCACTGTTATCATCTTCAATGCCCTGTACCAACACAGAGCAGAGCAGCTATCTGAACACTACCCCAACAGAGGTCGATTATCTTGTTAATAATTTCACCTCCTCACTACGTACGACTCTGGATACTGTAGCTCCTGTGAAAACTAAGGCCTCAAATCAGAAGTCCCTGACTCCGTGGTATAATTGTCAAACATGTAGCCTAAAGCAGATAACTCGTAAGCTGGAGAGGAAATGGCATGTCACAAATTTAGAAGATCATCATTTAGCCTGGAGAAATAGTTTGCTGCTTTATAAGAAAGCCCTCCGCAAAGCCAGAACATCTTACTATTCATCACTGATTGAAGGAAATAAGAACAACCCCAGGTTTCTCTTCAGCACTGTAGCCAGGCTGACAAACAGTCACAGCACTGTTGAGCCAACCATCCCTTTAACGTTAACTAGTAATGACTTCGTGAACTTCTTCACAACTAAAATTTTTATCATTAGAGAAAAAAATACCAATAATAATCCCACAGATGTAATATTATCTACAGCTACTTTTAGTACCATTGGTATTAATTTAGACTCTTTTTCTCCAATTGATCTTTCTGCGTTAAGTTCAGTAATTACTTCTTCCAAACCATCAACGTGTCTTTTAGACCCCATTCCTACAAAACTGCTCAAAGAAGTCCTGCCATTAATTAATTCTTCGATCTTAAATATGATCAACCTATCTCTAATAATCGGCTATGGACCACAGGCCTTCAAGCTGGCTGTAGTTAAACCTTTACTCAAAAAACCATCTCTAGACCCAGCAGTCTTAGCTAATTATAGGCCAACCTTCCTTTCATATCAAAAATCCTTGAAAGAGTAGTTGTCAAACAGCTAACAGATCACCTGTAGAGGGATGGCTTATTTGAAGAGTTTCAGTCAGGTTTCAGAGCTCATCCCAGCACAGAAACAGCTTTAGTGAAGGTTACAAATGATCTTCTTATGGCCTCTGACAGTGGACTCATCTCTGTGCTTGTCCTGCTAGACCTCAGTGCTGCGTTCGATACTGTTTGACCATAATATCCTATTAGAGCGATTAGAACATGCTGTAGGTATTACAGGTACTGTGCTGCAGTGGTTTGTATCATATCTATCTAATAGACTCCAATGTGTACATGTAAATGGAGAGTCCTCTTCACACACTGAGGTTAATTATGGAGTTCCACAGGGTTCAGTGCTAGGACCAATTCTGTTTACATTATACATGCTTCCCTTAGGCAGCATCATTAGAAGACATAGCATACATTTTCACTGCTATGAAGATGACACCGAGCTCTATCTATCCATGAAGCCAGATAACACACACCAATTAGTTAAACTGCAGGAATGTCTTAAAGACATAAAGACCTGGAAGGCCGCTAACTTTCTGCTTCTTAGTTCAGATAAAACTGAGGTTATTGTACTCGGCCCTGAAAATCTTAGAAATATGGTATCTAACCAGACTTTTACTCTGGATGGCATTACCTTGGCCTCCAGTAACACTGTGAGGAACCTTGGAGTCATTTTTGACCAGGACATGTCCTTCAACGCACATATAAAACAAATATGTAAGAATGCTTTCTTCCATTTGCGCAACATCTCTAAAATTAGAAATATCCTGAGAGATTTATGAGATGACAACGACTCAGGTCAAGAAATGTCATTACTTCCAGGCTCGACTACTGTAATTCATTATTATCAGGATGTCCTAAAAACTCGCTGAAAAGCCTTCAGCTAATCGAAAATGCTGCAGCAAGAGTCCTGACAGGGACTAGAAAGAGAGAGCATATTTCTCCTGTTTTGGCTTCCCTTCATTGGCTTCCTGTTAAATCCAGAATTGAATTCAAAATCCTGCTCCTCACATACAAGGTCTCAAATAATCAGGCCCCATCATAGCTGGATTGGCCATCGGGCATACCAGGCATTTGCCCGGTGGGCCGCTGGCAATTTTTTGTTTTTATGATTTTTGCGCATTGCATGCCGGGAACTCGTGGCTAAACAATCCAAGTACCGCATCAAATGCAAGCATTTGCAGCACCGCAAAACGTTAATTCTCCGGTTCCAATACCTTCTTGTTTTTTCTTTGCCGCACAAAAAAGGAATGTACAAGACAAAAGGAGAACAATGCCGGTCCGTACAAAGACAGACTCAACGAAAAGACAAAGAAAAGATACGAGGAAAAAATCAAAGGAGTGAAAGGGTCAGACCACACAGAGTGGACAAAAGACGTTAGCGTGCTGCCCAACTTTCACCACGCTCAGATTTATAATTATACAGTTCTTGGAGTGAGT